TACGGCTCGCGGATGCGGCTAATTAATCGCAATGAGACGTAACGTAATGACGGATGCGAGCTATGCGGAGAATTTCTCGAAACGAACGAAAAAAGAACGCTGTCGAAAGCGACTTTGACAAAACTGAAACTTCACAGTGAGACCGAGATCTCAAACTTTTAATTTCTGTTTTGTATTGCTTCGTTCTTCTTTTTTTTAATTTTTTAGGTTATGTTTTCTTTTCTTTTTAATTTGATGAATCTACAACGATTGACAACGTTGTCCGCACGGCGATCGATAAATGATGCTATTCTTTAAACAATCTTTTCTTTTTTCGACTTTCTCTTTGCTTTGCTTTGCTTTGCTTTGTTTTGCTTTTATCACTGACCAAAGATGAATGTTGCCGGAAGATAATGGAACATTAAGCGGCTGGAGCATCGTGAGTTATACTGACCATAACGAAATTCGACGAGTTATCTGGCTCGACTTGATCGGAGGATAGATCGATCGATGTTGATTGTTCGGTGTCCGACGGTGGATACTTTTTCTCCATGTTTTCACTGTGCATGTCGCTCCGCGATGCATAATTTACTAGGGCGAACTCGAGGAGAGCGCCGAATACGAAGGTCAGGCATACGCCTGTCCATATATCAATAGCCTTTGTATAAGAGACTGGTGGCAGTGAGGCATTTATTCCTGACGTCTGCGTGGCCATCGTCAACAGAGTTGTCACACCTGTTTCGTGGACAGTGGATTTGTAACCAGGAACCGAAAGTAACAGTTCTTGTAAAGATCTTTGGAACAATTACATAGTGACTGAAATTTTCGTTATTGCTACAGATACGGGCTCTGGTCGTGAACTGTCGAAATGTATGTTAATTGATCATGAAACTGATTGTAACTTTGTCACTGTTATCTTCTTTGTTCTGAGAAAATTGTTATAACATGTAAATTATATATAAGAGATCTTTTTCTTGGATACAGGAAGTCTTTGTTACGTAGATAAGAATATTTTTTGCGTTCTGAGAAAGTTCAAGCTGTGAAAGAATTCTATTACATATCAGAATATTTATCCTTTGATTCATTGAGTTATACTGATTAGATTCATTATAAGAGGTTAATTACAAGCACTTACACAATTTATCGTCTTATTTGAATCGCTTAGAAGCCAATGCAGTTAAGTTCATATTTCGATATTTTCTGATTTATCTCAATTCTAATGGAACAGATAATATTCTTAGTTATTCCAAATTGGAAAGCCCTTCCTTTTATATCTTCCGAATATATTATGCAATCACTTCAGAATCCAAAACGTTAAAACTACCGAGCAGTCGAGTCGAGTTTATTTAATTTCCCTGTAGAAACTCTGTTTCTGTGTTATCGAGATCATTATTTTACATTACCTAACGAGACCCGAGCTGGTACAGCACTCTGATCGAGCCAGAATGATACCCAGGATACAATGACAAGCATACAGCAAGGGATGTAAATTTGGATAAGGTAGTAGCTGAATTCTCTCTTGAAGAGCAGGTCTACTTTCAAACAGCTGTATTCTCCTGTTAACAGATCAAATTGCTTTTATCATTAACAACGAACGCAGTAATGCATGATCTTAACCAGTTAACTGTGTTCGACGAGTATACACGTCATCACAGCTTGACATGATACTAATTCTTTCAGTGAATTCTTTATTTTTTCACGTAAACATGTAATTCTTCTCTGTTTCGCTTTGATCTTTCATTAACCTTTTGCGGAGGACTGTCGACATTTCGGCGAGATGAAATTTTCGTATTTGGAAGACTAAGTTGTAGACAAACGATTTAGTTATTCGAAGAGCAAGAGATCATCGTGAAGTTTCCTTTTTTTATATTAATTAAGCATTTGATATATAATTCAGCTTTATCTGCTGTAGGTCTTGTATATTTCAAAGAATTTTCGTCCGCAAAGGGTTAAAATATACTCTATGTGCATTCGTCCTGCGTTCGACGAGGACACGCTCCATTTTTTGATTTTATTGCGCGCCGAACGAGAGGTTTTTCCAACTAAATTCCATAGTTAACTGGTTAAAACACGATGGAACGATCGACTAACCAGTGTTCGTTTTACTATTACAATAATCAGTAAGAAATTTCTCCAATGTGAATCGAGGCAGGTGTAAATTTTTCACAACTTGGACAGGATCCCCTTCCTTCCAGAGGAAAACCAAATCGTCGGTTGTCCAACCGTCTGAAACACATTGAAACGTAAATTTGTTAACTGTCTTGCACGGACAAATAGTTTCATAGAGAAATTTTGAAGTAAAAGATATTTATATAGTATTTATGACATGTGTGTTAACACGTGGGGATCACCCAATCAAGTCGAATTATTATAATTCAGGGATATAAACGATGATTATTTACAAACATTTTTATATTGCAGTAATATAAATAGTAGCAAATAATAATGAAAGGATCCAATGAAATAATTTGATACATTTTTCATTTTGTGTATTTTGCTAGGTGAAATCGTGCGGCGTTCGTTTGAGAAAATATGAAATAAAAATTTTTAAACAAGAATGGTTGATAAATGATTTATTAAAAATATAGTATATACTTACAACTCGCCATACGCAATGAACAAACTTGTCGATCCAATGGGTATAATTTTAAATTCATCGGGCACGATAACGTTAGGGATATCCTGGAATACAAAGAAGAACGAATATATAGTACACGCGTACAGTGTTCGCTCGTTTCCCATAATTATTTTAGTTTCATTTACCGTATACTGTATAGAACGGAACCTTCGGGGAAAATACGAATGTACACATTCGGCATAATAATATTGTGAAAATGTCCTTCCTTCTCGTTCGAAAAGAACAGATCCGGCATCCAAACGCGACTCGCATCCGTTAGAGTTAAATATTTTAAACGACCTGAAACGGTGCGTGAAGAAAACATAATTTAATAATCATTTGATTATAGTATAATGAGACATTATTAAATCCTGCGATCAGATCGAACGAAATATTTAATTAGAAATAAATTATTCAATTCGGATAATGAATGAAAAATAATGCTATTCATAAATTTTATACTGAACACGTAATTTTATGAAATTATCGTTATTTGTATAATTACTTTTTATAAACAGTGAAACATTGTATACATGAATATTGATATGTTTGCACTATTTATAAGTCTTAAGAAAAGAGAATTACATTTTTAAATGATTCCTTTTATTAAGAGGAATAAACACATTTTGTTCGACATGATGCTGGATATCGTACACGTGTGCAAGAGTACTAATCTACGAACCAAATCGCAGTTAGGGTCTAATTACCTTGGGAATCGTCAAACTTTAATCGTTCGTCCAGCCATTGTTCCCGGAATGTTAACTGTACAGAATACTCCTGCAGACGAACAGAGAAGACAGCGATTTAATTAAGCGATCCAGTCGGAGCGCCGCTAAAGTAGTAGCAAATAATTTAGGCTTCGGAAATGATCGTTCGGGTTCGCTATACGAGTAAATGAACGTATGGGGTAGGTTCGTTCGTGAATCGATACGATTAAAGGAAAAAAAAGATAAACGTGAGGATGTGAGATCCGTCGTTAGAAATTCAAATCTCGATGGAATAACCTATCTGCGAACTACAAATTTAACGGGCAATGAATGAGATCGAAATACTTCAGGTTAATCGTGAACTGAATTGTTCATTCGATTGCTTTAATTAGATCGTTACTATCAGATAATTAAGATCAGACCAATTACTAGTCATTCTCGAATAATTCAACTATCAAATTCCATGGAAGCGTACGCTTTGCTTATTAATCTATAATGAATCAATGTAATTTATTAATTTAAGGAAATTCTGTATCAGACGATCGTTTAATTAACCGATCTAATATAGTAAACGCCTTTCCAATACTTAATCACACCAATATCAACTTAGAATTTTAAGTAGACATCTTATTTAAGAAGCGAATCTCATTAATGAATCTGAATTTTGATCATAGCCGAACAAACTAATCGGATTCCAGTAATTCGTTTCGATTCGCTGATCAGAAAAGACTCGAAGACTCCCTGAAAGCTATTAGATTTAATTTCTAACGTCAGACTGCGAAAACTTCGGTGATCGATTCTAATTGTGAGATCAGCCTACTAGAACTGGGGATAGAAATCGATTGAAAATCGGGAATGGTGCTGGGGGTGATCGAAATCAACCAGTTCTCGGTTCTCAAAATGGATTTCTAATTGCTGATAAATTGGGATGCATGAATCGCGATCCAGGGTCAGTGAGATCGATCCCGTGCAGCGCAGATCGGTACAGATCGCGAAGATCAACGTAAAATGTGGAGAGACAGGTGAAACGGGCGATGCTAAAATGGGAAAGAGATGTATTGCTTCAATGAAATCGAGATTTCCGTGCAGAATGGTTCCAAACTGGCCACGGAGGCCAACGTAAAAATGAAAATGAACATGGAGAAAGGTGAAATGAACGGTTCTAAGAAACAAGAGGAAGATGGTACTCCCGCAACTTCTCGATGAACTCGCAATAGCGGCGTTATCGAGTGTCCTACCTATACGAACTTCGTATGTTTTGTTGTAGTGGCGTATCAATTGTAATCGAACGCCTTGGTCCTTTAACGCTCCAGGAATCTTCGGTAAATTGTGAAAGAAACGCTGAATTCAAGCCTTCGATCGTTCAAGGTATCCCGTGATTCACGATACAGCCGGAAAGAAGTGACTTTCCGTCGCGAGACAATTGAAAGAAGCTTAAGAAACTCTGTTACACATTCGACTTTAGATATTAAACATTCTTTAAAGAATCTATTAAAACGAATTCTCATCTGTTGATTCGTAGAATTTCGATGTGTCGAAATTCAACTTTACAAATTTAAAGTTTAAACTCTCGTCAGAATGTCCCGCAACTGCTTCGTAGCGATTCGACTTTCAAAGAGTTTCAAGCGTCTACCGCGATTCTTCTTTATTCTCGTTAAGATTCAAGCTTCTCGCGATTCAATTCTAAGAACCTCAAGCTTCCAGCATTCGTTAGAATATTTTCTCACGCGTTTTTCTATACAAAAGCCATCTCATTCTCGAACGCGAGTGTTATTTATACGCGCGAGACTGACCGGTCGGCCCCGACAAAATGGCCGCCACTTCAACCATTTTGAGCGGCGGTCTGAATGCGCGCTGAAGGGACTGGACGGAAAAAAGATTAGCTCCGGGAACAGTTTAGAGGCTGTTCCGCGCTCGGGAAGAGGCACTTCGCGACAGTGAAAGGTCGCGGTTAATTCTTCTTTTTTTTTGTTTCTTCCTTTCTCGCGCGCCGCGCGGAGCGTTAAAGAATCCAAGGACGCGCGGCCATCTTGGCGGCTGGGAGAACGCGCGGGAAATGTGTCTGGCGAGGCCAGGCCGGGTTGGGTCGGATTTCTCAGGCGTGTGGGTGGTCGGGCATGTTGCGGAGTAAATAGATATATACTCGTGTAAGAAATGTACACCGCGGCTTTAGGCGAAATGTTAAAGAGAACTCATGCAGTAAGCAACATCGAAGCTAAGACTACTACCAGAATGGTTCGTACTGACAGAACTATGGTTCCAAAAGCTAATGGTTAATATATATGTATATAGACGCAATATATATATACTATATATATAATATATAACGTATAATATATAATATATAATATATAATATATATAATATATAATATATACATAGCAAAGTATAAAGACAACTAACATGCATCTTGGCTCACAGTTCCATATTTACCAGACCGGCTGGACTTGTCCACATCGACGGCGTCCTGTTTGTGTGTGTCTAGTTCTGGGAGAGGGGATAAAGGCAAGAGCATCCATATTTTTCTTTTCTGTATTTTGTTGATGTTTCTATTTGTTGTTTAAATTAGATGTTTACAGTGAACGCTGACGACTCATCCTCTAATCGTTGCCGGGATACATCATCGCCGAGCAGATTCTCGTGAGCTAGCCGACGAACTTCTGCCTCGATTCTTACTTTTTATTTGCTATTTGCCTATCGTTTTACTTTTCCCGTTGCGAATTGATCGGAGTACCGGTTCTGTTGACTGGTCTCTGGTCGCGGACTCGAGACTATCCGCGTGGGAGTCTGGAAATCGAGCAACATGTCGCACGGGGGGTTTCCATGTGCCTGATACCTACTTCGTGGTAGATTCTTATCACTTTCCTATTCCATCGGACGATTCTCCACAATAATCAAACGCGATCTGTTTCAATGGTGTTCTGCTTACCGAACAGTAGCATCTCGAAGGGAATCAAGAATGGCAAAAAGAACTTGCACCTATCTAAGAGAGATGTATAACCTATCTCCGAGTTCGAACGCTGTGGAACAGTTTGAACGACGCGACGATTATACAGGGTGCTCCGTAAGATACAGAAACGTCGGTACCAACGAAAACTTCACGAACAACGAGGGAAACGCTTGTGGAGCTTCTGCTTCGAGTCTCTCGGATCCCGATCGACGAATGGAAAGAAAGTAGCTTCGTTGCACAGTCAACGCACGGTAGAGAATTCGACTAAAATGAGAAATTCGAGATGGTCCTTCGATCTTGAGCGATTAACTTGTCAACGCTGACTCTGGGATTCACGTGTTTCGTTTCACGGAGAAATTCTTGAAACTTTGGAAATTATTCAAATTATTAATAAGTAAACCGATTTTTAATCGTATGAAAATTTTTTACAACTATTGAACTACGCATTTTACATACCGTTTGA